ATAGCACCTGGGGTCTTAAAGGATTGAATGTAAACAAATGGTCATCTAGCTCAGAAGCAACAAAGCCCACATGGAAGAAACACACCAGCCTGTGCGATCACGAGGTGTCGAGGGGATCAGGTATCAGACATCATCAGAACAAAAAATCTTACCATAGTGAATGAGATATTTTCATAGTGCTTCTTCTTTTTTTATCATTTTATTGGGGGCTCTTACAGCTCTTATCACAATCCATCTACCCATCCATTGCACACTTGTACAGATGTTGCCATCATCATTCTCAAAGAGACTCTGACTTTTGCATGGGAGCAGAAAGCCTCATCTTTCTCTCAAGGAGTGAGTGGCTGGTGTTTTCGAACCGGTTACCAGCCCAATGTGTTACCACTGTTGAAGTGGGTGACAATCCTGCCCTGGCGTAGGCGTGTGCTGGTGAGAGAGGAGCAGGTGATGTGGGTGAGGGCCCTTAGTGCAGGTGTTCATGACCAGCAGGGAGGTTCCACAGCTGAAATGAATCCGTCTGTGTGAGGCAGAGAGGGAGGGAGGGCGTGGCAGCAGAAGGAGAGAAGGAAGGCCGGCACTCAGTGGCCCTGGCTGCATGGTGCCCACTGCTAGTGGTACTCAAAGCAGTCCAGGAGAGGCCCCCATCTGTCCCCAGGAGCCTGACCCTGCCATCGCGCAGCCCAGGAAGCAGGGAGACTCCTGCTGAGAGTCCTCGCCCACAGTGGGTGCTCCTACCCACAGGCTGCCTGCCTGTTGTGGCGGGGGCTCCAGAGACAGGGTCGGACATGGAAAGAAAACACCCTGTCTCCCGTGGTCTGTCCCCTCCCTTGGACACTCTGGCAGCTGGGTCCCCAGGCCCCATGCCTGACTCCTGCAGGCCCTGGGTCCCGTCCCTGGAAGGCCAGGAGGATGAGAAAGCTGAGGGAAGCCACACTGGGCCTGGGGCTGGAGCGGGGCCAGGCTGACCTCGGAGGGTAGCGGGCAGGAGCCACCTGGCCAGGGCCAGACACAGCTCTTCGCTTGTTGTGCCTGTCTTTGTTCCCCCTGGGGCGGAGGAGGGAGCAATTATGGCCAATTAGGCCCGAGGGGGCGGGCTGGTGCAAGCCTGCTGCACAGCTGAAGGAACTGAGAGACATGCCCCTGACCCAAGGGGTGCCCAGACCCAAAGGGTGCCGGGTGCAAGGGCTCCCTGTGTGCACGTGTGCATGTGAGAATGTATGTGTGCATGTGTATACACTATTGTAAGTTCCCCCGACCCACACTGCACGGTGTACCTGTGTGAGGGCTCCAGGTGTGCACTTAAGGGCACATGTGCATGTGAGAGTCTGTCGGTGTACTTGTGTGTGCATGCAGATTGACCCATGCAGTGCCCTGTAATCTCACCGTGAGAGAGATCTGTGTGTGCGTATGTACATGTGTGTGCATGTACATGTGTGTGCACGTACATGTGTGCGTGTGCATGCATGTGTGTGTGTGCATGTACATGTGCGTGCACACCCACAGACGGTTCCCATCACAGCCCCTCCTCCACCTCCTCTCCTGCCTTCAAGGTCCCTCCCTCCACGTCCCCCCTTGCAGCACCAGCTGACCCCAGGCCAACTCGGCGTCCACCTCAGCCCCCGCAGCCAGTCCCTTCCTGCCAGGTGTCTGCTGTGGGGACCTGGCCTGTCCACCTGACAAGGTGGGACAGAAAGCAGCCTTCCTGAGGCTTCATGGTGGCCAAATGCCCAGCTCAGAGTCTCTACCTCCTATGCTCCCAACTCAGACCAAGAAGGAAGGGCTCCACAGAGGTCACCTCTGACCCGCCCTCAGGGCCTCTCTGTGCCTGGCTCCAGAGGTGACCCCAGTGGGGTGCACGCAGGGTCTCTCAGGTCCACTACCTCTCCTGTCTCCCCATGGACACTGCTCCAGAGAGAGGGCACTGCCTCCTCCTTTTCCCAGTAACCATGCCTCCAGCTAATGTCCCCTCTCCCCCAGCCCCAGGACAGTCCAGGTGCTAGAAGGGCCTTCTCAGCCCTCTGGTCCCAGTCTCACTGCCAGCCAGCCACGAGCAGCCCGGGTCTCAGTCTGGGTCTCAAAGCGGGCTGCCCAGGGAGCAACCTGGGCCTCAGCCTTACTGTGGTCTGCCCACAGGGCAGCCCGGGCCTTGGTCCCAGCACCATAGGCCAGCCAGCCATGGGACAGCCGGTCTGGATCCAGCCAGGGCCTGGGGCAGGGTGGTGAGAGGCACTCAGGTACCTCTGCTGCCCACCCTACCTCCTTCCTATAAAGTCAATGAGCCAGAGTGACTGCTCTGTGAGGGGGCGGAGACTGACTGCCCCTCCCTCATTACACACATAACACAAACACATTACACAAAATGAATGCACACACATGCACAGCACACAACACATGCACACACTACATGCAAAACACACCACAACACACTCATGGCACATCACGTATTGCACTAAACACCCACACCACATACACACAGACATATACAGAGTGCACACACTACACAAAATGCATACAACACATGAATACTGCATACATCCACTACACATACCACGCAGACATAGACATACACAAAGCACACATATACCACAAGCCCAAACAACACAAATACACACATACCACCTACACAGACACACACAAAACTTACATACCACCTACAAACAGACACACAAAGCATACATACCACCTATATACAGACACATGCAAAACATATATACCACAAACCCTTAGACACACACAAAACATACATACCACATACACAGACACACACAAAATACACACATACCACATACACACAGGCACACATAAAACATGCATACTGCATACACAGAAACACACAGAAAACATGCATACCACTTACACACAGGCACACACAAAACATGCATACCATTTACACTCAGACACACAAAACATACATACACACAGACACACACAAAATATACATACAACCTACACACACACACACCAAAAACATGCATACCACTTACACACAGGCACACACAAAACATACATACCACATACACAGAGACATACACAAAACATGCATACCACTTACACACAGGCACACACAAAACATGTACACCATTGACACACAGACACACAAAACATACCTACCACCTACACACAGACACACAGAGAACATACATATTACAAATACAAATATACGATGCACACACACATACCCTGTGCTCACAGCACACATGCGTCCCGCCCCCACTGGCCCGCTCTGCCTGGGGCCCAGGAAAAGACCTGCACCCACTGCATAGTTTGGGGTTTCCTGAGCACAGATCACCCCATAAAACCTGACAGCCTGATGCCGTGTCAGCTGCTCCAGGGGGCAGAGAGCTGCTATGTCACTGGTGGTGGGGGGGCGGGCAGGGAGGGGCATGAATGCTGCGCTGAGCCTCCCATCCATCAGAGTTGTGAGGAGGGGACCTCCAGGGTGTGAGGGGCACCCAGAGGAGGTGCAGGGCTGCAGCCAAAGGGGAGGGACACCCAGAGAAGGGGGAGGTCTGCAGCAGGGGCCTCAGTCAATCTAGCACTTGGGCTGGAGGTCCAGGGAAGCCTGGGGTCCCAGACCCATCTTGGTGTCATGGACTTCCCCCAAGCCCACTTCCACCCTGTCCCCTCAGCCAGTAATGGAAGCCAACAACCACGCACTCACTCTGGGTGCTGACTGTTTGGGGAAGGGGCTCCTCCTTTGCCCTCAGGGGTCAGAGGGTCCCCAGGGAC